AGTATAAAAAATTAAGGAATTTCGCAATCAAAAAAGTGTGGTAAATTTAAAAATTACCAAAATAGGAAGATGAATGATACTGTTATGTAATCATTCTAAAAGGTATATATGATTTTTGATTACGTAAACAATGTTGGTTCCAGATATTTCCTGAACCAATCTTGAATGATGTACATTCTTTGGAGATATCAATAAAATCTGAATTTTTTGAGTGACAGTGCTATTCTCTGAGTGTTAGAGCATATAATTCGTTTCTTATAATGCTTAACAAAGAAGAGTAAAATCGCCAGTAAATTATAAATACGATGTAATTTTACATCGGCTACATTTGATAATTTACTATTATTTATTTAAAGCAAATGTAAAAGTTTATGATGCAACAAATATAAGCGTATTTCAAAGCAGTTATAATCCGGAAAAGATTGGCATGCCACACTTTCATATATATATATTCCTATATCATAATTCTATATCATTTAATTCCTAAAAGTAGTTATGGATCGTTGCGAATCTTCTCTATTTAGTAAAGATGTGCTTTCTGTAGGGATTTAAGGAAATAATATTTTAAACAGAACTGATAAGTATAAAATAAATTCCATTTTGTTTAGATTTGATTTATAATTCCTTCCAACTTATGAACACATACATAATACACACACAATGTTAATTCAACGTAAAATGTTTGTATGTTTGTTTCGACATAGCATTAACTTTATTACACAGTAATTTCTTATGTTCAGGCTAAATGTTGCTGATTACATGAAAACTGATATATTCTATTACCCTTGAAAAGAATGAGAGGTGGTTTTATAACAAACTTTTTTAGGCATTTTTTTTTCGTTTTAATTCTTCATTTTCAACGTTTTTATCTTATCAGTGCTTAAGTTGAAATGTGCACTTAATATATATATCATTTTGATATAATTTACATAAAAAAACACTGAAAATATACATAGTCAATGATTAATCAATTTTTAGGGAAATAACGTAGTTGGACATATTGTTGAGAAGATAAAAGCTTGTATGGTTATATGGTTCAGAAACTTGTCCTATATAACATATCTATGAAAAAGTTGTGGACGTTCAAAATGTGACGTTTAAGAAAAATGATGCAAATCAGCTGGGTGGAGAAACTAAAATATGATGCATTGATGAAAAACATAGGAATACAAAGAGAGTGACACCAACAGAAAGAGAAACTAAGGTACTTTAACACACCGTAAAATAAACATCTACAGAAAGACCACGTCTGTGGTAAAGTGGATAGAAAGAGAGACATGGGTAGGCAGAGAGAACCATGATGGACGATGCCAAAGAACGAACTAGCATGGGACTGAAACAGTGCCAGAGTATAGCAATGGAAAGGAAAGAGAGGAGGAAAATGACTGTTATCTTTTGTAGAGGGACTGAACTAATAAAATGAATGATTAGGACACTACGGATAGTACAGCAAGTGACTAATGTTTCTGGAAAAAAAAGAAATGTGTAATAATAAATAAATAAATAAAAATCAAACGAATGAAAAAAATCCTACAATAAATAGTAAGAATACTGACACTCTAATTAAAATATAATCACATTAATTTGTTTGGTTTTGCATTTCGCGCAACGCAACACGGGGGGTTACTTGCGTTAGCCGTCCCTAATCTAGAAATGATAGACTAGATGGAAGGAAGCTAGTCATCACCACCCACCACCAAGCTCAACAGCTCCCCGCTGATTTCTCCAAGCCAGTTCCCTTGGCTGTGGTTCCGCTAGATAGTAGATAGGTACAGTGGGAATCTCGTTAATCCTTTCATGCGCGTCACTAATTAGATCATCACCTTTACTATCATCACATTATAACGCCCCCACGGCTGAAAGGGCGAACATGTTGGAGGACGGGGATTCGAACCTGCGACCCATTGGAGCGAGTAGATGGAAGTAACAAACTTGAACCCTAAATAATAGTCAAAAAGTATACCTACTAAGATTTAATAACACTCACAATAATAATAAGACATAATAAAGGAAGAATAGCAATAACGGTAGGTATGATAATTAAAGTAATAAGCAAAAACTAATGTAGTTTTACTAATGACATAATGTTATAATATAAAGGGGATTGTTATACAGCTGGCATTATCTATAGTAAGAGTTTAACAGAAATATAGTGGTCACTATATTAGAGTGGCTCATTATTTACATAAACATTTTTTAAAGATATTAAGGCGTAGAGTTAAATGTTTTGAAAAGCTCGTGATATTTTGTAAGACTATTAATCTCATAATTGTAAGCAAAAATACTGTTGGCTTTTCCACAAGAATGAATGAATCCAGAAATTGTTTGTTATTAACCACAAATTCACACAATGGAGAAACTGTATTGTGCCCGTTACGTGTATCGAAACCTAGTTTTTAGCCTTATAAGTCTAAAGACTTATCTCTGTGCCATTGAGGGGCAAATCCGGTGTTCAAAATGGGTATGAGAATTCTCATTTGTGAAAAACGAGAATAACTTTATGAGCTCTATCTACGAAATATTTCATCTAATAAGATGTGAGTAGTAAACACTGGCAAATAATTTATTTGGAATATTTATATTCAGAAATCGAGAGTATTTATCATTTCATAATTAAAAGTGTCTGATTTATAGAAGACTTTGAGTATATATGTTTGATTAACATTCCTGGTATGTAAATCCAGACTGAAATCTGGCGGATAAATTTGTTTGACAGTGTAAAAAAACTTCGATAATTCAGTAAAATAATATATCTCATGTATCCATAAGCACAACTAATTCGCAAAGGATTGTTGTAAGTTTTCTTACTAAAATGTGTTATATATGAAAATTCAAATTCGAATAATTTTTGTTCGTATTTAACCACAAAACTACACAATGGGTTATCTGTGCTCTTTCTTTCTTATTCATAGGTTTCACGGTGGCTAACAGTAAATGGGAAGGCTTATAATGCTAGAAACGATATACACAGTACTGATATACAATTGTGTATTTGCGCTTAACAACAACCAAATTCTTATTCATGAGGTGCTCAATGTTGTTAAGAGTGATTTTTTAAAAGTATTTCTTTTATGGATTATTTCTACTGCTATGCTTACACATTCTTTAAATAGTATTACTCTTAAGTTCCTTCTTTTTACACTATTTACGTATGATTTTGTTGAGCGATTTATCAATTTCTTGTTTTGCGTGATTTTAATTAATTTTAAAACATGATAAATTAGGGACGGCTAGCGCAGACAAACAAAACAATCAATTTTAAAACATTCCCGGAATTTATGACCTTTTCTCATTAAGAGTCGCAAATAATCATTACTTAAATTGTCAACTCAAAGAAGAATAAATGTAATAAAGTCAGTTACACCTGCAATGAAAGGATAGAATATTATGATAAAAGATTCTAATGCAAATGGCCCTCTTCCAAAAAATAATCGTTGGAATTTTGCATGTATAAGGTAATAACTCTTCTATGAAAGTGTCTCTTATTATTAATCATGGCCAGGTGGATAAGGCGCTCGATTCACAATCTGAGGGTCGCGAGTTCGAATCCG